CAGCCTTGGTTCCGGCTCTGTCTCGTGGCGGGCTACTCTCTCGTCTTCTGTTCTCGGTTCCAGTTGTGAGGCTGAGATCTACGCAGGAGCCATGGCTGCATAGGAGCTTCGCTGGCTCACCTACCTGCTGACTGACCTTGGAGAGCCGCCTTGTTCTCCTCCAGTGCTGTACGTAGAGAACAAGGCTATGCTGGCCTTGTGTTGGGAGCAGCGAATGGAGCACAGAACAAATGACATTGCTCTCCGCTACTTTCTTGCTCGTGAGCTGCAGCAGCGTGGTCAGCTGCTTCTTGCGTACGTGGCCTCTGAGGCCAACACTGCTGATATCTTCACCAAGGCGCTTGCACCTTGTGACCATCAGCGCTTCTGTACTCAGCTGGGCCTTGTGCCTACCTTGCCTCACTTGCTCACCTCTTGACCTTAATACCCCCGGGTGTTATGTCCGGGAGAATACGGTATAGTGGAATGCGAAAGGTCCTAGCTAGCCATGTGCTCTGAGGGGGTACATTTCCCTTAGGGCTAATCTAGGTGCACGATTGAAAACCGTGCGGCTCGGCCGGTAACCGTACGCGGTCCGGTAACCGTTTGAGGTTTTCCCGCGCTTTGCACTTTGAATTCTTCCTGCTTGTAACTGTCTTCATTAACTGTCTTGTCGCTCAGTCTTCGTCCTCGCTGCATTCATCTTCGCGTTAAGGTTTCGTTACTCAGGAATGTTTATTCAACAATTCCATATCGTAACACTCCCCTTCATTCCTGGAGAAGCGAAGTCTTGACGCGCTTGGTTATACCGCAGATGTTTCCGCCGTGATGGTACTGCTGGCGTGGCAGTTTCTTGGTGAGAAAGTCGGCTGCCATGTCACTAGTGGGGCAGTAAGTCAAGATGCCTTTGCCTTTGTCAACTTCGTCTTTGACGAAGAAGTAGCGGAGTGCGATGTGCTTAGTGCAGTTGACGAAGCCAGGCTTGTTCGCGATCTTGATCGCACTCTGGTTGTCGCAGTGAAGTTTGAAGCTCGTGGATGTCGCAATTTTCGCCTCTTGGAGAAGTTCCTGAAGGTAAAGTCCTTCGCGGACCGCTGACGTGGCAGCAATGAACTCGGCTTCAGCAGAAGAGAGTGCTACCATTTCCTGCTTCTGGGAATTCCAGGAAATTGGGCCAGTAGGTTCGAGGCGAAAGAGAAAGCCGGTTCGGGATTGTCGATTCGCAGGATCGGCAGCATGATCTGCGTCCACGTAGCCAACGAGGCTGAAGGAGCGGGTCGTGAGGGTTGAGTAGGTGAGGCCGATGTGAGGTGTGGAGATGAAGTACTACAGGGCGCGCTGTAAATGAGAAGAAACGAGAATGAATGAACTATGAATGAATTTGGTACAAGTGCTAACCCTAATTGGGTTGTACCCCTTATGGGCTACCCTAGTATAGCCTACACGATATGCATGAGCTATAATGTTCTGACACACCCCCATAGGCAAAGTGGGGGAGAACAAGGGGTCACAAGACCAGTCAAGCAAAGCAAAGCAAAGAAAGCTCAAGGTGGATCACAAAGTCACTACACATTGCGAGCACAAGTTCAAGGCCACAAGGCCAGTTCACATGCAAGAGTACATATATATAAAGAAGGCTAGACAACCAAGAGCAGGTATATATACAGTATATGTAACAGGGGGGGGGGGGGGTCCTCTCAACGGAAAATCCTATATAATACCCGGCTGGTTATATATGGTGTATTTTAATGCAAGAGGATTCTTTAATTAGACAGTTTGGGTGTTTCAATGGTCGTTTTGACATCACAGTTTGAGGCGAGAATGTGAGTTTTGGCGAGAATGTGAGTTTCACCTTTCGGGCCACTTGCAGCGGAAGATTCGCCAGCGTGGCGACTTCCTAGAATGTGGGATGGGGGAAATGTCCACTTGCAGCGAAAGATTCGCCAGGGTGGCGACAACGAGATTGTGGGAGGGGGAAATGTCGGCGGATGTCAAATGTTGTAGCCTGTAGTGAGGTTTGTCTTAGGGGGTACAGAAGTTAGGGTTTGTTATATGTACCCCAACCAACATCAATGGCATCATCATTCCTCATTCTGACATGGTATCAGCTAGGTTAGGATCCTGTGGGATCCTGTTCCTCAGTTCTCCGTTCGTCCCTCCCGAGCCTGATCCTACCTCTCGTTCGTACCGGTTCCGTGGTTACCGCGCCTAGTACCGAGCCTAGCGCCCTCTCCCCCGTCGCTTAGCGCCCTTTCTCCCCGTCGCCTAGCGCCCTTCCCCCCCCCCCCCCCCCCCCCCCCCGTCGCGTCGCGCCCTTTCCCCCCGTCGCCTAGCGCTCTTTCCCCCCATCGCGTCGCGCCCGTTCCCCCCGTCGCGTCGTGCCCGCCCTTCCCCCCCCGTTCCGTCGCCCTGTCCCGTCGCGTCGCCCTGCCCCGTCCCGTCGCCCTGCCCCGTTGCGTCGCCCTGCCCCGTCCCGTCACCCTGCCCCGTCGCGTCGCCCTGCCCCGTCGCGTCGCCCTGCCCCGTCCCGTCACCCTGCCCCGTCGCGCCGCCCTGCCCCGTCGCGTCGCCCTGTCCCGTCCCTACGCCCTGGCCCGTCGCCCTACCCTACGCCCTGGCCCGTCGCCCTACCCTACGCCCTGGCCCGTCGCCCTACCCTACGCCCTGGCCCGTCGCCCTACCCTACGCCCTGGCCCGTCGCCCTACCCTACGCCCTAGCCCGTCGCCCTACCCTACGCCCTGGCCCGTCGTTCTAGCCCGCTCTTCCGCTGCGACTGAGTCCCCTTCCCACCTGAACCCTAATTTGCCTCTTCTCCCTGGTTGTTACTCGCCTTTTCGTTCGCGTTAGTTCTCACTATGGCGACTCCGCGAGTTCTTCGTTTCGACGCTGACGGTAGACCACTTGACTTTTCCGTCTGGCTTCTTCGCGCTCGCCGTCTGTTAGAGAGTCAGGACCAGGGGGGCGAGACCCTCTGGTCGCACGCTACTGGTGACCTCCCCGAGCCCCCCGAGCCTACAGCTTTAGGCTCTGCCCCTGACGACGCTGCTACGGCTCGCTTTGCCCGTCAGCGCGCTGACCGGACGGCTTGGACGTCGCGTGACGCTGCGGCCTGCATCGCACTCAGCAGCCTCCTCCCTGAGTCAGAGGAGGTCCACTTAACTCAGGTTCGCACCGCTGCTGCGTACCTCACTGCGATTAAGGCCCGCTACTCTACTCCCGCTACTGTCTCTCTTGGCCGTCTTTTCCTCCCGTTCCTGTTTCCTGATCTCGCCTCGTTTGAGCGCTCTGCTGACTTGATCGCTCACCTCCGCTCGCTCGATGCTAGTTACCGCGCTGCTTGCACTGAGGCACAGCTTGCACTGCTTCCTCCCCCCATGGCGATTACTGTCTATTTCATCGCCACTAGCCTCCCTGACCGCCTAGCCTCCGTTCGTGACGCGCTTCTGCTGAAGCACCCTAGTGAGCTGACTATCGAGGTCCTTGAGTCTGCACTCAAGGACGTCGAGAGCAACCTTCGCTCGGTAGCTGCCGCCTCTGGTACTGTGTCCCCCCCACTCTTCCACGGGTGCACAGTCCCGCAGTTACCCACCTTCACTGCCTCTCTCGCCACTGCCGCTACTGACGCGACTGCGGCTGCTGTTACGACTGCGTCGCGGTCCCGCGGCAAGGGGGGCAAGAAAGGTGGTTCTGGTGGAGGTGGAGGTGGAGGTAGCGGAGGTAGTGGGGGTGCTGTTGCGACTGGCGGTGGTGGGAGTGCAGCGTCTGGAGAGACCCCTCGTGCAGCGGCTGGTGACTCCACTGCGCCTGCTGGTGGCGGCGACCCCCGAGCTCGTCAGTCGCCTCCTGTACTGCCGACCCCGCTAGGTGGAGCAGCGGCGTGGTACCAGGCTCAGCGTCAGCAGCACCTTCAGCAGCAGCAGCAGCCCCTTTCCTCCCGCCAGCCTCAGCAGCAGCAGCGTCAGCAGCTGGCTCCGGGGTCGGGGCTGCGTCAGCCCCAGCGCGGTGCTTCTTACCCTCCCTGCACCTATCAGGTTCTGACAGGTCCTCGTCGGGGCCACCCTTGTGGCCGCTTTCACCCCCCTGGTCAGTGCTTTGCTCAGCTCACTGACACGGTCCGGTTGGCCTACGGGGTTGGCGGTCCTGCTCTTGACTGGCTTCCTCTGGTTCAGCGCTACGGCTCCGCTCTGTGGGGCATGTCTGCTGAGCAGTTAGTTGATCTGATTGGTGCTCCTCATGCTATGTATGCTGTTGTTGACTCTAGTGTTTCTGACTCTGTTTATTCTGGTGTTGTTAGCTTAGGTGCTAGTCTTGCTCAGTTGCCTGTTGCTAGTGTAGGTTCTTGTGTAGACTCTAGACCAGCGACTACCTCAGAGGACGCTTCGCTATCGTTCACGCTGGACTCTGGAGCCTCACACTGCTTCTTCCGGGACAGCAAGACACTTACACCACTTCCTGCGCCTGTTTCTGTGGCGTTGGCTGATCCCACTACGGGACCAGTCACTGCACGTCACACTACCACTTTACCGTGTCCTGCTGCTCCCTCCGGGTCTCTCACTGGGTTTCACGTCCCCTCGTTCTCCCGGAACTTGGTGGGCGTGCGACCCCTTGTGAGTCAGCACGTGGGTGTGTGGTTTGAGCCTTCTGGAGAGACGGCGGTGTGTGTTGACGGAGACTCTTACCAGCCTCTTGCTACCTTTACTGCTGAGCCGGGCTCAGGTCTCTACACTCTTCACACTGGCCCGCGTGCGCCGCAGCAGCAGCAGCAGCCGCAGCCGCAGCAGCAGCAGCTGCACCAGCGGTCGCACCAGCAGCCGCCCCTACTGCCACTGCCCCCGGTTCCCCCCCCCCCGTTCGGGTCCCCGCGTCTCACCAGGTTGCTTCGTCCCCCCAGGTGTCTGTGTCGTGTCAGGTTCCTACGTGTGCTCCAGTCGCTGCGTCGTGCTCCTGCCGGTCGCTTGCCCACCCCACCGTTCTGTGGCACCACCGGATGGGGCACCCGTCCCTTCCTCGTCTGCGCGCTATGTCTAGTCAGCGTCTTGTCCTAGGCCTCCCACGTGTCTTGCCGTCGCTGCCGCCTTCGCTTGCGCCGCCGTGTAGTCCGTGCGTCGAGGGTCGGCTGCGCGCCACCCCTCACTCCTCCTCCCTTCGTCCGGCCACCGAGCCTTTTGAGACGCTTCACTTGGACGTCTGGGGCCCCGCCCCTCGTCTAGGCCCTGAGCGTGAGCGCTACTTTCTGGTGGTCGTTGACGACTTCTCCCGCTACACCACAGTGTTCCCTCTGGCGAAGAAGTCTGAGGTGACTTCTACGTTGATCAGGTGGTTGATCACCACCGAGGACACTCGTGGTCGTCGTGTCAGCTGCCTCCACTCCGACCGTGGGGGTGAGTTTCGCTCCGGCATTCTCGCTGGATTCTGTCGCGAGCAGGGCATTCGTCAGTCCTGGACGCTTCCAGAGTCCCCACAGCAGAATGGGGTTGCTGAGCGCCGCATAGGCCTGGTCATGGAGATCGCCCGCACCTCCCTGACTCACGCCTGTGCCCCCCATTTTCTGTGGCCCTACGCGGTCAGGTACGCCGCGCACCAGCTGAACCTCTGGCCACGTGTCTCTCGACCAGAGGTTTCACCGACCAGTCTTTGGACAGGGTTCCCTGGTGTTGCGTCGCGGTTTCGTGTCTGGGGGTGCTTGGCTCTTGTCCGCGACACCTCCGCGAACAAGCTCTCGCCTCGTGCCGTCCCCTGTGTCTTCCTTGGTTTCCCTGAGGACTCCTCTGACTTCACCTTTTACCACACTCCCTCTCACCGGTTCTTTGACTCCCGTGACGTCCGTTTCGAGGAGTCCACTCCGTACTACGTCAGGTACCCCAGTCGAGGTCTCCCGGTTCCTCCTCCCCCCCTCTTCCTAACTGCCGCTCCCCCTCCTGTTCCCCCGGTACAGCCTCCCCCCCCTGGTCCAGCCCCGTCGGGTGTGTCCCAGGCTACCCCTCCTCCTTCGGTAGCCTCTCCGGTACAGCCTCCCTCCCCACAGTCCTCCTCGCAGCGTGCCGCAGGTGCTAGCTCTCGAGAGGTTGGTGCTGCGCCTGTTCCTGTACCGGTTTCTGGTACTGGGGGTGGTGGAGTTGGAGCTGGAGTTGGAGCTGGAGTTTCTGGTTCTGGAGTTGGAGCTGACCCGGTGGGTGCACTGGACTCTTGTCGTCCGGGAGCTGGTGCTGGTCGCGCGGACACTGGGGGTGAGAGTGCGCCTCCTTCGAGTTCTGGTGAGCCTGGGTCTGGAGCTGGTGTTAGTGCTGCCTCTGGGGGTGGTGCGCCTGGTTCTTCGGGGGTGGACTCTGGAGCTGCCGCTGCTTCGGACACTACTCCGCCCCCCCACCCCTACCCGACTAGGCACCAGGCTCGTGTTCGCCGTGCCCGTGACGAGCAGCTGGCGTTGGAGAGAGAGGAGAGGGAGTTACAGCGGCTGGAGGAGCAGCAGCAGGAGCTGGAGCCGCAGGAGCAACAGCAGCAGCAGCAGCAGCAGCAGCTGGACCCGCAGGAGCAGCAGTCCCAGCAGCAGCCGCTTCCGCAGCAGCAGCAGTCGCAGCAGCAGCAGCAGCAGCAGCCACTTCCTCCTCCTGTCTCGGGTCTTCGGACCCTTGGTCTCCCCTCCCCTTCTCCTCCCTCCTCCGCCTCTCCTCCTGTCTACGGTCCCACGTTTCCTCCTCCTGACTCCTCCCCCGCTGTTTTCCCCAGTTCTCCGCCTTTGTCCTCTCCTCCTCCGTCTCATTCTTGGGCTACTCGTCGCTCCCCTCGTGCTCGTCCCTCGTCTCCTGTTCCCTTCACTGACCTTCGTACTGCCTTCCTTCTTTCTAGTCCACCTCGTCCGTCTCAGTCTGTGCTTCCGTCTCCTCCTGAGTCGGCCCTCACTGTGTCGCTCCCTACTCCTGTCACTGACTACTACCGCATGTACCGTCCTGTTCTCTCTCGTGTTCTCGCCTCTCTTGTTACTCACCCTCGTGCCTCTGTGTCCTCTGTGTCCGCTCTTACTGCCGCAGTTACTGACTTTGCCTCTACCCGCCGCCTTGACTACGCCACCACGCTTGTGGCTGCTCCTCCTACCAGTCCTCTGGACGTCGGGGGTGTGTCTGCCCTTGGCTGTGACGCCCTAGAGGACAGGCAGTTTGAGCTAGAGTTCCTGGCGGCCGCTTCCCCTCATCTCTGTGCCATGCTCCTCGCCCCTGAGGGTGACCCCGACGCCCTTGACATTCCGACTCCTCGCACTTACGCTGAGGCAGTGTCAGGGCCTTGGGCCTCTCAGTGGAGAGCTGCCATGGACGCAGAGATGGCCTCCTACAGATCCACAGGCACCTACGTCGATGAGGTTCCCCCCCCTGGGGCGAACGTAGTCGACGGCATGTGGATCTACAGGGTGAAGCGGCCACCGGGATCTCCCCCGGTCTTCAAGGCGCGCTACGTGGCTAGAGGTTTCAGTCAGCGCGAGGGAGTTGACTTCTTTCAGACCTTCGCACCTACCCCGAAGATGACCACTCTTCGGGTGTTACTACACGTAGCAGCACAGAGAGACTACGAGTTACACTCTCTCGACTTCTCCACTGCTTTCCTTCAGGGCAGCCTACACGAGGAGGTCTGGTTGCGTCGTCCCTCGGCCTTCACTGGCACCTTCCCTCCTGGGACCCAGTGGAGGCTGAGGCGACCTGTTTACGGTCTTCGCCAGGCCCCTCGTGAGTGGCACGGCACTCTGCGTTCTACCCTCTCTGACCTTGGGTTCCAGCCGTCTTCTGCCGACCCGTCGCTGTTCGTTCGTCGTGGCTCCACACCGTTCTTTGTTCTGGTTTACGTCGACGACCTCGTTTTCGCCACTCCGGACAGGGTTGCTTTGGCAGACGTGAAGTCCGAACTGCAGAAGAGACACACGTGCACTGATCTTGGTGAACTGCGCCACTACCTTGGCCTGCAGATCACCAGGGACAGAGCCGCTCGCACCATTACACTCTCACAGTCACACATGGTGCAGCAGGTCCTTCAGCGGTTCGGGCTTCAGCACTCCACCGTACAGCGCACACCTCTCGCTGTTGACCACAGACTCACTGGTCCCTTTCCTGACGAGCCGTTTGAGCCTAGTGGTCCCTACGCAGAGCTTGTGGGTTGCCTCATGTACCTGATGACTTGTACTCGCCCGGACCTCGCCTTCCCTCTCAGCATCCTTGCGCGCTTTGTTGCGCCAGGGAGACACCGTCCTGTTCACTGGACGGCAGCTGTGAGGGTGGCGAAGTACCTAGTGACTACATCAGGCGTGGGGCTAGTTCTTGGAGGGCAGCAGTCTGTCGTACTCACTGGTCACTGTGACTCCTCTTACGCTGACGACGCTGAGACTCACAGGTCTACTCAGGGGTACTGTTTCAGTCTGGGTTCTGGAGCTGTTTCCTGGCGTTCCACGCGCTCCTCTTCTGTCTCGACCTCTACAGCTGAGGCTGAGATTTACGCTGGTGCCATGGCGGCACAAGAGTTGCGTTGGTTGACCTTCTTGTCAGAACATTGTAGCTGATGCATGTTTGTAGGCTGTAGTGGGGTAGCCCATATGGGGTGCAGATTCCTAGGGTTTGCTATTTGTACCAATTTCTGACTTAGTCATTTCATTCCTGTTTACCTATCTTCACATGGTATAGAGCGGGTCCCTCTTAAGGACCGATTTTTTTTAGGGCCCACCCACGATATTCTCTCTGCCCGGAGCGCCCTACTCTCCCCGAGGCGCGCTCCCCCCCCCCCTTAGTGCATTTCCCGCTGCCTTTGTGGGCCCCCCGCGAGTCGCGCGCGAAATTTTTTTTTTAGCGCGCGCGGCTCGGGCCTTCGTCGCGCGGGCTTTACGGCCGCGCCGCGCCGCCCTCTCGGCCCGGCTGTGCCCCGCCGCCCTCGAACTGGCCACGCGGCCGCTTCGTCGCGGCCGCGGGCCCCGTTTTTTACGGCCCCGTCGTCCCTTTTTTTTTTACGGCCCGCCGCTGCATTCTGCCGGCCCCGCCGTTTCCTGTCACGGCCCCGCCGTCCCCTCTCCCGGCCTCGCCGCTGCACCTTCCCGGCCCGCCGCTGAGCCCTGACGGCCCGCCGCTGCACCTTTTGACGGCCCGCCGCTGCACCTTTTGACGGCCCGCCGCTGCACCCTGACGGCCCGCTGCTGTACCTGCTGACGGCCCGCCGCTGCACCCTGACGGCCCCGCCACTGCACACCCGGCCCCGCCGTCCCCTGTCCCGGCCCGCCACTGCACCTGTCCCGGCCCACCGCTGCACCTGTACCGGCCCGCCGCTGCACCTTTCCCGGCCCGCCACTGCACCTGTCCCGGCCCCGCCGGCCTCTGTCCAGGCCCCGCCGCTGCACTGCAGCCGGCCCGCCCAGCAGCAGCCGAGCCGCCCAGCAGCAGCCGGACCGCCCAGCAGCGGCCGAGCCGCCCAGCAGCACCCGAGCCGCCCCACAGCTGCCGAGCTGCCCGGGAGTCGAGCCGCCTTTCTGCTGAGCTGCACGACTTGCCCTGCCTGGTGAGCACAGTCCCTCTATCACTGCGCCCTCTTTCCCTACTGCTTGCACTGCTTCGCTGTCGTCATCATGGCCACCCCTAGTGTCCTAGCCTTTGACGCCGAGGGTCGCGCCATTGATTTTGAGGTCTGGCTAGACGACCTGCAGCTTTTCTTACAGTGCGACAGAGCTGACAGCCTTTCTCTCTTTGACCTCACCTCTGGCGCCTCTCCTGCTCCTGCTGCCGATGCTGATCCCACTGTCCGCTCTCAGTGGGCCACCCGCGATGCTGCTGCACGTCTTGCTGTGCGTCGCCACCTCCCTACCTCTGAGCGTGCGCACTTTAGTCAGTACAAGAGTGCTCAGACCTTGTACGACGCTGTAGTTGCGCGCTACTCCTCCCCTGCCACTGCTGCACTGAGCCGTCTCATGCTTCCCTACCTCTTTCCTGACCTCTCTGTCTTTCCCACTGTCGCTGACCTCATTACGCACCTCCGCACTAGTGACACTCGCTACTGCGCCGCCCTTCCTGCTGAGTTCTGCGCTAAGAACCCCCCCCCCATGTACATCACTCTCTACTACGTAGTCGCGCGCCTCCCTGACTCCCTCCGCGTAGTCAGGGACCACTTTCTCGCAGTCTGTCCCACCACTCTCACCGTCGACCTCCTCGAGAAGGCCCTCCTCGCAGCGGAGAAGAGCATAGTCGCTGTAGGTGCCTCTCGTGGTGACCCTCGCACCCCCATCTTTGAGGGGTGCTCTCCTTCCCCCTTGCTGCCCTCTGTTGCCTCTGCTGCTACGGCCGACCTGCTTGGTCTTGAGTCGGTCGGCGCGGCGTCTGCCCCTAGTGGGAGACGTCGCTCTAGCAAGGGCAAGGGGGGCAAGGGCGCGGGCGGAGCTGGAGGGGGCGGTGGCGGTGGCGGCGGAGGCGGCGGAGGGAGTGGGGGTGGCGGCGGGAGTAGTGGTGGTGGTGGTGGTGGTGGTGTCAGCAGCGGCGGAGACGGTAGTGGTAGTGCCAGCGGTGGTGGTGGAGGCAGCACGGGGAGCGGAGGCGGTGGAGGTGGAGGCAGTGGAGGCGGCGGCGGAGGAGGCGGTGGTGGTGGAGGAGGTGGAGCTGGTCGTGGTGGTACCCAGCAGCGGAGCGGCGGTGGTGGTGCCCAGCGCTCGCAGCGGCAGCAGCAGCAGCGTTCGCGGGACATCCCTCCGCCTCAGCAGCTTCGTGAGTGGTACGCTGCGCTTCAGAGGGGTGGGGGTACTGGTCCCTGCGCCTACGTTCTTCGTTCCGGCGACCGCGCGGGTGAGCAGTGTGGGGGTGCCCACTCCACCCAGCGCTGCTTTGGCCGCCTGACGGACGCTTGGCGTCAGCAGTTCCCCGGGGCTAGTGAGATCCCTCGCTGGGATGAGCTCCTTAGGGCTGGTGTAGCGATCTTTGATCTTGATTTTGATGCTATCCTTTCTGCTATGTATGCTGTGACTTATAGTGAGGAGAATGAGGGTTACCGGTGTTTCCAGCCCGACCCGGGCATTGGTACTGCTGCGCTAGGTACTTGTGAGGCTG